CAGCAGCGGGGGCGGCGCGCGCGCCAGGAGCTCGGTGCGCGGAGGTGATGGCCATCTCCTTGAGCAGCTCGTCAGTCACCTCGAGGTCGCGCAAGGCCAGCAGCGGGGGACGGGGGGAGGAGGGCGTCATGGACCGCCAGCACCTCCAGGCCGGCAGGTCTGGCAGAGACCATAGGGCGTCTATCAGGTCCACGACGAAGACATCCTCGCCATCATTCACAAGTTGTGATCCGTGCTGAGTCGAGGCACACTGTGCGCAGGTGGATGGCTCGGCGGAGGTACTCGGTGGCCGCCCCGTTCTCGTAGTCGATGTCGCCCGCTGGCTGGTACACGTACAGGCGCACGTCCCTCAGCGTCTCGCTCGACGCCAGGGCCTCCATCCCGGGGGCATCCCGGACGGCGTTAGATGCAGCACCGGCCCCGCTCGGGCGACCGAGTCGTGTACTCCACCGCGGACATGAACTTGACGAGTTTGAGCATGAGCATCCTGACCCACACGGCCCGCACCTTGCCGAGCGGTCACGATGCTCGAGACGGGCTCGGCGGCGGCGGCGGCCGCGGCCCGGGGCCTTTCGGACGACTGTCGGGCCGGAGGGTCGACCCTGTCCGGGATGGCAGTCGTGCCCTCGCTCTCACGCACGCCGCCGAGGTCGTGGCAGGTGAACCACTAGGCTGCACTGCCAGCAAGGTGATTCCGAACAGCGCTTTCGTACCTCCGTCCTTGTCGCACTCACAGGACACCGCCACTGGGTGGGGGTGAGAGGGCACGAGAATACGCTGTGCGGAATCGTCTTGCTGTAGGGGCAGAGCGGTCGGGAGCACCACGCCTGCATCACGCTCTAAAGGGGGGCACCAGGCCCGTCCCACTTTCCAGGCCGGTCCCGGTCCCGGGCCTAATTGGCCCCTGCCTCGTCCCGAACTACCGCTGTGGATGTGACCTGAGCGCCTGTGATCGACGGGGTAGGCAACCCACTACACACCCCTGTCCACCGCGCTGACTACCGATTCGTTCGCGGGCGCTTTCACATGATCTAAAAGGGAAGGCTTGTGGCACCCTGGTCTAGTGCGGCCGCCTGGCACACTATCGTGCAGGAAGTCGCCACAGGAAGTCGCCACTCTCCAGCTGCTCGATGTGTGGCCTACCCTCCGGGCGGAGCCCGGCCACACGTTCATCACCGGCACCGGCTCGGCAAGGTTAGACCGCCTTTACTGCTCTCGCTCACTCGCCCCTCTGCTGCAGTACGTGGAGACCACGGCCGTGGCCTCCAGTGACCATCTCGCCGTGACGTGCACCCTGAGTGGAGCGCGCGCGCCGCCCCCGCCGCGCCGCCCCCGCCGACGGCGCTGGGCGCCGGGGCCCGTGCCCGCCGTGGCGCCGCGCCTGTCCAGGATCGTCCTGCTGTGGGAGTGCGGGGTGCTCGGCGGCGTGCGACAGCGCTCCATGGGGGACGGCGACGGACTGGCATGGCGACGCGCCGCGGCACCCCCGGGCACCGCGGTGCCAGCCGGCGCCCTGCCGCCCAACCCTCGCCCCACCCTAGCCCCACCGCCCTTACCCCACTGTCACCATCAGATAACGACAACTCTAACCCCTCCCTCCTAGTTCAACCTCACGGGCCCTCCTGGCCCTCCTGGCCTTTCGCGAAATGTCTTCATCCCCCTTCCTTCCTAATTATGGCTCGAAGTACTTGCCCCGGCAACAACAAAGCCTCTGGTGTCGCCTCGGGTATCACTGGGAAAACAAAGGTCGTAGGAATATGGATATCCTTCTGGAGGTGCTAATGAATTTAAGCCTGTGTAGATGCACGAACGAATTAGCAGCCCTGGAAAGACTAAAAGGTGCTAAATTTTAGTGCCCTGCGACACTTTTGTGCTTTTATACAGGCACTAAAATCTAGCACCTTTTAAAAGGCAGCAAGTCCCAGTTCCACCTTTGTTTTTCCAGTGATGGGACGCGTCCATAGAAGATTCACTTACTCCTCCTGGAGTATCGTTTGCACAAAAGTACTCGAAAATTCTGTATGCATAATAGCTTAGTGTGTCGAAAATCGCGAGCAATGTAACGACCACAACCGTAAACCCACCTCTCTCCTTGCTATGCTCTCCAGGAAGATGAGGTCCGTGTCCGTGGAGTTGGCGTCCCTCGCGCTGTGTCCGCCGACCGGAGCAGGCGTCGGCAACTCGATCCCCAGGGCGTCGACGGAGTCCAGGTATCCGGCTGCAACAAAAGGAGAGAGGCGCGGGACCCTTTGTTAGTTTGAACCGTTCCAGGCGCGGCGGGGCGCGGCCGAGCAGGGAAGGGTGGGGCGGGGCTCCCCGCCGCAGAGAGAAAACGCAAAATAGATGACGGAAGGGCAGCCGCGGAGCAGGACGAAAGGGAGACCATCTTGTACTGTGCGATATTTTCAGGCTGAAAACAACAGTATAATACTACTGGAAGCGGGCTAGGCCCCACCCTACCCTACCCTGGCTGTTCTGTCCTATAAATATATCATGTTTCTCAATCACTGCAGTGACTGATAGACTTGACT